GAATACACCTATTAGTAAATAATATGTGTATTAATGCCTTGATAACTCACTCTGCTCAGCTTCCAATGAATACACCTATTAGTAAATAATATGTGTATTAATGCCTTGATAACTCACTCTGCTCAGCTTCCAATGAATACACCTATAATATGTGTATTAATGCCTTGATAACTCACTCTGCTCAGCTTCCAATGAATACACCTATAATATGTGTATTAATGCCTTGATAACTCACTCTGCTCAGCTTCCAATGAATACACCTAAATAATATGTGTATTAATGCCTTGATAACTCACTCTGCTCAGCTTCCAATGAATACACCTATTAGTAAATAATATGTGTATTAATGCCTTGATAACTCACTCTGCTCAGCTTCCAATGAATACACCTATAATATGTGTATTAATGCCTTGATAACTCACTCTGCTCAGCTTCCAATGAATACACCTATAATATGTGTATTAATGCCTTGATAACTCACTCTGCTCAGCTTCCAATGAATACACCCAAATAATGTGTGTATTAATGCACAATGTAACAAATCATTTGTGAACACGCCTTATTTGGAAATTCTATCCCATAATAATATCATTCAGTGTACCAATGCAGTGTGCACAAATGACAGTACAGTTGGAAACAGACATGTAGGGTACGTTTATAGTTGAACTTTTTTTTGACAGCTGTCTGTGAAATATTATTATTTGTCACTATCCCTTATTAGGAATTGGCATTTCCTAATAATGTAGGCTACAATTACCTCCGCCAAAATACAGTACAGTTCTCGCGAGAGCTTTGGCTTCACTTCAGCTTCACCTTCGCTTCAGCATCGCATCATTATGGCATTGTTATGGCTTCAGCATCGTATCAATGTCGCGACATTAAAAAGTTAGGCGGTTATCGCTTCGCTTCATTGTGGCCTCAGCATCGCTTCATCAAACAAAGAAGTACAGAACTCATTTCGCCCAACCTCTCGACCTAGATTTGGCTGGGATTGACTATTTTATTTCAAACAATATTCTGACGTGACGCACTGCTACAAAATGTATTTCAACAGGAGTATGACATGGTTGTCCAGGTTTCTTTTCCTGACTGTGTTGAGTTTACGATTTGTATAATTATTGTTATTTCCCCCAAGGAGAAGACAAGCTGAAGGACCATGAAGCTAAATAGAAGTCCCACGCATGGACTGAGTGAAAGAAAATATTTCTAAGGCTAAATTAAAACCTAATATCTCTGTGTATTTTGCATCTGTGTCAATTTTGCATATATTTGGTATGACAGTATGTTCGTAAATATCTGGAAAAATCTTGTCTTTTGTTAAGTTTCATTTGTTTGAAATGTCTACCGACCGTGTCCCAATAATTTGTTTCATGGTTTGGAATATCGATCCCCGTTGGTTTCTCCAAATGGTCCCGACGTCCGTCATTCAACACAATCAGCATTTATTTATCGCAATTCATGGGGATCATGTCATGTAATTTGCGGGGTGTAAAACCAAATAATTAATTTTACCTTGTGAAACTACAACACAGCGTAGAGTTGTCGCGGTGAAACAGTCACCTTAAAAACGATGGAACTTCAATTATCCATTTCTCACCTTGAAATAAAATAAAAAAATTTGAAGAGCATCAGGGGTTATATTATTAACCAGTCTTACCAATCGCTAGCTTTATTTTATTCAGTCAAATCCAAGTGCTATTTGATTTTTTACAGGGCATGTGGCTCGTTTTTATTCGAAAATATTTTTTGTGAGAATACTTTTAAAGTACGCATAGATCCAGCTCAGGTTGAAAATTGGATGTAAAATTTTACCAGACCGACGCCACCACAACCATCCAATCATAGTTAGAAATGTACGCACTTGTTTTGGAACTTTGTATCAAGATGGCAGGCGACAATGCCGACGCACCAGGCGGCGTACGTGTGTTTTGCATGTATTAGTAGTCCGGGCATGGGATCGGACTCTGCTACGGACGAAACACAGAAAAATACCACCAAAATGAGGAATCTGAATCTGTTCTCTTAGCAGCAAATTAGCCGAAAAAGGGTACTTTTATAACAAGAACAGTTTCATTTCGTACAGCAAATTGTGTTGCATCCGAGCGACGATTGTATCATGTGATTTAAATTTATCACGATTTTCCTTGCAGTCAATATGACACTTGTCACCTTGCAGATTGCAATGTACTTCACAAAGTTTTTGGTACCCAATACCCGCAACATTAAATAATTAAACAAGATATCTTTTTAAAATGTCATTTTACTCTTGGTCATATTATTATTGAATTTCAAATCGATTACATATCGAACTTCTGTACATGTGTTTTTCTCTACTGCCTTTCCATGTGAAAATATTGTGGTCATACTCATGTCACAATACTTTGAAGCTGATGCCATGTTGATGCCATGAGACTGCGAAGCTGAGGCCACGATGATGCCACAAAATAAGCTTCAATTTTCAATGATGCGAAGCTGATCCCACAATGATGCGATGCTGAGGCGACAATGAAGCCATGTGTAGGCGACAATGATGTCACAAAAGCCAAAGCTTTTGCGAGAACTGTACTGTATGATAGGCTCCAACTTATAGAGGTAAACGGAGAGAATCATTGGCGACTTTTTTTGCTACTTCAGGAATTGGTAATTTACCCTACAGTACTCGGCAGGTCAAAGAGTTTATGAGTAATCTGAAACAACAACTGGAGCAATACGTTGCAGAAACTAAAAGCACTAAAGTGAGTTTATGTAATGTTGTAATTTTGATTTTTCATCAGCAAGTAAAACTAAAACATCTCATGTTACATTTCTCACTCTCTAGGTTCCCCACATGACATTGTTTGATGTATAATCATTATATAAGGCACCCCCTTCTTAATAGTGTTACAACTGGCTAAGTAAAGGATTTTGAATTCATGCCTTCCTTGTTGGTGTTAAATACTTTTCTTTAGTCTTTGCTATAACTCTGGGTAAATGGTTTGGATTAAGTTAAACCCTGCTAACCTATTTATCAGTCATTGTCTATGATTTTACATAACAAAAAGAATCATACTTTTACTCAGTATCAAAATATAGAGAGTCGAAATTGAATCAAAAGAGCTGAACTGCCATTAATGAAATGTAACCGTTTTTATTTCAGAAACATTATGACGAGAAAGAAAGTGAATTTCAAAAACAGATTGATGATTTACGTGATGTCAAGACAAAATTAGAACACAATGAAAAGATTAAACAGGACACTATTGTGAGTATCATTTGATGTGTGCTTTGTACCCTAACCTAAGTGTCTGGATTGTCAATGAGGTATATTATTACTTGATCAGCAAAATTAGGTGAAATAAGGCCCTAGATTGTTTTAGCCAATAGGTAGCATATGGTTAATAAATCATT